TGTGAGGGACAGGCCCAAAATGGACCACCAGAATTAATTTAGCATAGCTTAACAGGAACCCGCATTGCAAAATAACTGGTTTTTCTGCCCCTGAGAAAGGAATTCAGATACAGGTGCCCTGATTTGCAAGTCACGAAAAGGGGGAGGAGGATGGTCAGACCAGATGTCTCTCACAAGATCCATGTCACAAGACCCAGGACTGCTCTAAAAACCAGGATGTTCCTAAGCACTGGCACAAATGCTGATCTTTAAACTATAGGCTGTACCCTTAATTGGATTGGTTAGGAAAGTATCTGTTTTTACAAATCTATTGGCTATGAAATGCATGGGCTCTGCTGTAACGGTCGGTGAAGGCCTATATAAGATCTCCTTTGGAGAAGCTTGGGGTCTTTACCCAACCTGCTGGACCTGCGTGTCTGTGCAGTCGGTTGGACCCTGGCTAACCAGTCTTACAATAAACCCTGCTTGCTGTTTGCAGTCTCTGGAGTCTCTTTGTCATTAAAGGGAGATTTTGATCTGCGCCCTAACAATCATAATTCCAAAGGGCAAGGTTCCAGGAGCCTCAATAAGCGGCAGTCTATCTGTTCATGGCCTCAGGCCCTATTGGTATGCCCCCTGGTCTGGACCCCACCTTGTGCTTACCCCAGATTGTTGACCAGCTCTGCCTTTGTTCTCATCACCCTCACTATCACTTCTTTCTTCCATTAACCCCTGGGCACAAAGGGTAAATGATACTTGGATTGCTTTTCCTGGAAATCATTTTATTTCCCTATTCTAAGAGCAAAAATATAGAAATACCTATAGTCCCTGAGACCAAAATTGTATAGACTGAATCCAGTTTTTTAAAATGTGGTATCAAAGATAAAATTTAAAAAAAAAAGAGCAGGGAGATAACAGTGGCTGAGTAATTGCCTTGTATGTGTGAGGCTCTGGGTTCGAACCAGAACCACAAAGTAAAAAGGGAGGAAGAACTGAGAAGGCTTTGGGTGAATTTTGCATGAAGGTTATTTTTTATGCATTTGTATTCAACGCACTCAGTGAAAGTCTCAGATTTCTTTCCCCAACCTCCACCAAGTCTGAAACCATTGCAAAAAAATGTCGAACTCATCTCAAATGAAGTTGTTTTTATCACTTAGGATGGGCTCTTTAGTTGGTAAACCTCTGCCTGTGTTCCTCAGGGCATGACTGGGGTGGGACTCAATTCTAGGTGCACTCTTGTTTTGATATCAAACATTTGTTCAGCCTCTTGTGGGAATTACACATTCATCCAGAGACATCCCATTCCGGAGCAGAGAAGGGCTAGTGGTTAGAACTGCTGCCCCAGTCTCTCAAGGAGATCTGGAAAACAAAGACTTCCATCTCGGGGTGAAAATTTGAGATGTGAACCTAGTCTTTGGCCTTGGATGGGCTTTTTGAATTCTGTTTACCAAGAGTGTTTCTGCATCCTTTCTTCTTGCAGTGTCTCAGGGTGAATGCCTTCAGGAATGACTGGGAGGCATCCCCATGAAGCAGCTCCTGAGGGGCTCCATGGTTGTTTTGTGAGAAGGAGGAAGGGACCATATGTGCCCTATACAGTTGCTGACAAAATGGAGAGTGTCAGGGTAATGTGACAGTCTACAGCATTGGGCGAGCAGAAATGCAAGCTGGCATCTGCTCCTCAGAGACAACGTAATTCAACTCTCTGGAGAACCTGAGGTGGTTAGTCCTTGTCAGCCCCATTTCACAGAAGAAATCAACACCAAGTGGAGAACGTGGCTGGGATGACAGAATCTCTGAGAGTGATAGAAAATAGCATCCAAGAAGTCTTGCCTCTGGGAGCCTCCCCTTCAACCACTTATGGTCCTCTGCCTCCTTAAGGTCATCCAGTAGGGTGGACACAGGACAGATGACCTGTAGAAGGTGATCAAGATGCTTTAAAAGGATTAAGTGCTCTTTGACCTTGTATAGAAGTCCTCAGCAGAGCATAAACAGTCAATAAACTGAATGTTCTACTTTTTAGAGACAGATGAAAAGGTTCCAGAGGAGTTATGAAAGAACGGGAAAGAGCCAGACATAGCTACCAAGGAGATCCTTCCTGCTCTCTTAGTGGTCATTCTCCGAGGACTGAGAGGTAATATTATAATAATTTAACTATGCTTAAGGCCTCACCAAGCTGTCCCACCTTCCTTGAACTTGGGGGCATTAAAAGTAGCCACTTGGACATAGGTCAGGAGTCAAAGGGGTTGTGGGATGAGGTAGAAAATATTACAGCATATGTTGTTTTCCCCAAAACTCTGTCCTTCCTGAGCTCAGGGATAGTTGACCGAGGTCATCACTATGTGCCAGAGTGCTTTCTGCCCTCAGAGGCTCAGAGGTGCAGCTCTGCCCTATATTCTGGGTATAAGACTTGGTGCTGGCCCTTATTTTTTGTGTCGTGGAAGCCTCCACTTCTTACACTGAGCTCCAGCAAGAACGATGCAAGAAAGTTCTAGCCCAGCCATCATGTCTTGAGTTTACTTTGCTCTGCTTTTGGAATGGGAGCTGAATATCTAATGCCTTTCAAGCTGCTTCCATTTGAAATTGGCCTCAAAGAAAGCAAACTGCTGATACTGATTTAGAACCTAATTTTCAGAATTATTAAGCAGGGGACTGGAACAATTTCTTTATTCCAGAGCTTTACAAAAAATGGCTGTTAATAGGGAGAAAAATTCCGTGCTCAAGGAGTTCAGAATATGCCGGGTTAAAGATGAACTATTTTTTTCTTTTCCTTTTTCTGCACTACCTCAGTCTTTTAAGTGATGGGAGGTTGGAAGCAGGCAGTGAGTAAGCACCGTTTCCATGAGGTGCTCCCAGGAGGTAGGTTTACCAGACTTCTGAATTTTACAAGGTCATATATAGACCACAGATCCTGGCCTGGATGTCAGTCCTTTGCTTCCTGTGGCCTGGATACTGGGTCATCTGTGCAGAATAGTGATTGTCCTAATAGCCTCACTTCCTAAGGGAGGCTGTGAAGCTGAGCTGGCCCAGTCTATGCATCCGTTCAGTGATTTATATTACCTATCTCTGCCATCCACCTCTTCCCTCTCTCCACCCATGTGATTGTCCATCTATCTCATGATTTAGTAATCTATAGTCCTGTCACTGTCTCCTGTTGTTCATCAATTTGCCCAAGCGGGTCCAGTAACATCTCCATTTTGAGACTTGTTATTACTGTGTTTGGCATATCGAATATGTCACGGGGAGCTTGCCAGGCTTTGCCCTGGGGGGAGATACTCTCGGTAGCTTGCGGGGCTCTCGGGGTCTCTGAGAGGGGCGGAGGAATCGAACCCAGCTCCTCTGGGCTGGCTGTGCAAGGCAAACGCCCTACTGCTGAAATGAGTCTACTAGAAAGAAAGGAGGTGAATCCTAGATGTGGAATAACTTCAGGACTGGCCAGGCTCAGTGCAAAGCGATGCACAAGTCACTAACTGTGGGCGTGGGTGTACGCGCACCATCAAAGGGACATATTCCATTCTACAACAAGCGCTTCCATTCCAAGGGAGACCTGCGAGCCAGCCACACTAAGTCCAATGGGAAGCCCGGGACTTGTCCCTCATCAGACGGGTCCAAAATGACTATATAAAGGAAATGCAGTAAATCACTACTGTCAGGGCGTGCGCCCCGCTCCTCCGCCCTTCCCCTTAGCTGCTGCTTTCCACACCCCCTCACGGGTCGGGGGGAGCTCCCGGGCTAAGTAAACGAGAGCACTTCTGACTATAATCCTAGCACGTCACTTTGGTGAAGGCAAACACGTGGTTCCGAGAGAATTTATAAATCTCTCTTCCCCGGCGAGATCGTGATGTTATCTGCTGGCAGCAGAAGGTTCGCTGAGGGGAGCTCCAGAAGCTTCCGACGGCAGAGAGGAGAGCGAGAGGGGAGGGAGGAAAGAGCGAGGAGAGAGAGAGAGAGAGAGAGAGAGAGAGAGAGAGAGAGAGAGAGAGAGAGAGAGAGAGAGAGAGAGAGAGAGAGAGAGAAGGAGAGAGAGAGGACAGAGAGGAGAGGGGAGGAGAGGAGAGGAGAGGAGGAGCGCGCGAGTGAAAGCATGGAAGCGCTGGAGAACGTAGTATAACGGTCTGGGAAGCCTCTCCGGAGCCAGTTGGGGCTGCCTGGCTGCAGCAAGGAGACCGAAGGCAAGGAGGGTGCATTTCGGGGCGCTCCGCGCCCCCCTCCCCCGAGAGAGAAAGTCCAAGTAGGAGAGACGCCCGGCGAGGGGAGGCGAAGGGCTGCGCCCGGGTACCCCTCGCGACGCCCTTAGGAATAAAAGTCCCGGGCCGGGGCTGCGGCTGCGGCGCGCACGGGGGCGAGCGACGGCGGGGCGGCGGCCGCGGGAGCTCTGTCGCCGGCTGGGCGACCGCAGCGAGCGGAGCCGGAGGCGCAGGAGGAGGAGGAGGAGGAGGAGGAGGAGGAGGTGGAGGAGGGCGCCGGAGGCCGGACGCGCTGCCCGCGGCCGCGGCAGCAGCAGCTGCAACGTGGAGTGAGCGGGCGGCTGGGCTCGGCGCCCGAGTGTAGGCCCAGCGCGCAGCCCCGGGAGCCGGATCGTCGCCGCGCCTGCGACCCGCGGGACCCCTGCAGGAGCCGGCCCAGGGGCCCCAGCCCCCCTGCCCGGCGCGCGCACAGACACGCACACACGCGCGCGCACACACGCGTGCGCCCCCGCGCCCCGCGTTTCCCCCGGAGGTGCCCGCTCCTGCGCCGCGGGGCAGAGCCCCCAGCCCGGCCCGCGCCCCCGCGCCCCTCCCGTCGCGTGCCCGCTGCCAGCCCCGCGACCTTTCCGGATCGTCCCTTTTGGCTGCAGGAGCCGAGTTCAGATCCGCCACTCGGCGCCCGGACACTGACACACTGAACTCCTCGCCCTCGGCGCACACTGACTCCTGCTCTCAGCCACGCGTCGCCTTCTTCCACCCCTAGCTCGGCGCTCCAAGAGAACAATTTTTTTTCCGGACTCAACCCTCCCTCACCCCGAGCCTCCCCCCGAAGTTAAGCTTCCCCCAGCCCCTGGTACGTTCACATTTCCACCCTGGGGACGACTCGCATTTTCTTTTTTAAAGGAATTCCAACCAGATACGTTTCGCCCCCCTCTTCTGCCTCCCTTCTCTTGGACGTCGGCTCGCGATTGCTTGCAAACATTTCGCATTAAAAAACAAACAAAACCCAAACGACCCGACCTGCGTTTTGAGAGTGGTTGATTCTTTTTTATTTTTAACTTTCTTAAAAAAAAAGATACAGACCACCAGCCAACAAAACTTTTGCTACCTTTCAAAACCAAAACCCAATTCTCCCCCCCGACCTAAAAAAAAAAAATGCACTACTGTGTGCTGAGCGCGTTCCTGCTCCTGCATCTGGTCACCGCGGCGCTCAGCCTGTCGACCTGCAGCACGCTCGACATGGACCAGTTCATGCGCAAGAGGATCGAGGCCATCCGCGGGCAGATCCTCAGCAAGCTGAAGCTCACCAGCCCCCCCGAAGACTACCCGGATCCCGAGGAGGTCCCCCCGGAGGTGATTTCCATCTACAACAGCACCCGGGACTTGCTCCAGGAGAAGGCGAGCCGCCGGGCAGCAGCCTGCGAGCGCGAGCGAAGCGACGAGGAGTACTACGCCAAGGAGGTCTATAAGATCGACATGCCGCCCTTCAGCCCCTCGGAAAGTAAGTACCCGCGCCGCCTTATCGCTGCCCGGACGGGGTCGCCTCCCCGAGCCCCCGGACCCCCGGGTCCCCGCGCGCGCTGGCTCTCGCGCACGGGCGCGCCGTACCTTCTGCTCCTTCCCACCACCCACTTCCTTTCCCGTGTCTCTCTCGGCCCCAGGATCCCCAAATCTTGACCTTCCCCATGTCTTTTCCTCCCCTCTCTCCTCCCCACGCCTTGGTCCCCATGCGGGCGCGATTCTTTCCCTCTCCCTTGAAATATTTGTCTGGGCCACCGGCGGGGTCTTGTCCCTTCTCTGTCACGTTTGAAACGCTCTGCCGGGACATAGATGATCAGGAAAATCTGGGAGGGTCTTTGTTTCGTGTGTGTGTGTGTGTGTGTGTGTGTGTGTGTGTGTGTGTGTGTGTGTGTGTTTTGCACCCCTGGGTTCGGAACACGAAGGGTTAAACAAAAAAGTAGCAGCCCCCGAAGAGCCCTCTTCTGATGACCCCACCAGGGGGTTCCCTCACCCCATCCTAGCTTGCAGAACTCCCGAAATCTTACAGAACAAGGCGATTGGGAGATGCCTAAAAAAACCCTACCAGAACCCACCCCCCCTTCCCTCCCTAAATTCTTGAATCTATTGCAACAGCAAAATGTTGACAGACACCCCTCCCCCCTCCACCTCCCAAGGCAGGATCCAGGGACCAGGACACCTTGGCTGTTCACCTGGAGCAGCCAAGGCCACATAGCCTTTCTCCTTTATGACCACCTTGGTGGGGAGGATGGGGGAGGGGGGTCTGTATTATTTGAGTTCACCCCAACTTGCCTTATTAAAATCTCTGGGGGATTTTTCTTAGCGGCTTGCACTCTGTCTTTTCACTTGGGAGCCTTCCTTCAGTGGGTTCTTTGCACTTTTGGTTGTTTCCCTGAATCTCAGAGTAGAAGACAGCAGATTTAAAAAAAAATACTCTTTGAAGGGCAGTGCCCTAAAAACCACCTGGCAGACAGTAGCAAAGGGAGTAGGGAGATGATTTACTGTGTAGCTCCTTGGGTGGGGGGAGGCGGTAGAGAAGACATTTAACATAGAATTATTTCCACATCTTTAAAGAAAGAAAGAAGAGCCAGCTGCATGCAGTGATAGATACCTGAGAGGGTTAAATACCAGGACCGAGAAAAAAGAGAGAAGGGAGGGGGGAAGAAAGAAAGGAAAAGAAACCACAACTGGAATATTTTCTGTTCCAAACCCCTAATTCATTGGCTGCTTGGTTCTCTCCTCCCTTTCCCATGCCTTCTGTACTTGCTGGCTGTCTCCACCATCTCTGTGTCTTGTCTAAATAGATAATATGACCATCTTGGTAATTTTATCCTAGAGATTCTAATTGCAGGGTGGTGTTTTTCTTTTTTAATATTTATTTTTAGTTTAACAAGTCGGAACTATGTGACATGCCGTGTCTTGTACGCGATGGTCTCAGGATGTCAGCCGCTCATGCAGCACCAACACTTCGGGTACACTTTTGCCCTGGCTTATCCTTGTTCAAGAGCAGAGCAAGGAGTCCAGAGATCCTGGCATTCCGATGATTGTGTTGTCACCCAGCATGCCCAGTACAGCAGGGATCATAAATACTTGCTATCCCAGGTCTTCCGGGCAAGGAAGTTTTTATTCTCCTTGTTCTAAGAGCCAGAGAGCTCTTAGGAAAGAAAGCTCATTGTAAGGAGCCACAGGCTCAGGAGACCAGAGCTGAGTTGAGCCGTTTGTTTTCTCTAGCACGTGCAGAAGTTCACTGGTATTTAGGCAAGCATGTTCTATAGAGCCTTAATAGCTCATTCCTTTCAATATTTACCTGAGGATCACCAGTGAACAGCCAGCCTTTTTATCCAGAAGGGAGCTCTGATTTCACCAGCAGAGAAGGTGCAGAGAGCAAATCCCCCCTGAAGGTTTTAGTTCTTGATTCTTTGAAATCTGGTTCAGAGAACTGAGATGATCCAACTAAGATGATCACAGCTTCCAAACTGGAAACCTTCTCAGATTGTTAAGATTTCAGAGGCTGGCATCAAACATCAATGCATGAGATTCTCTTTTCCAGCCCAGCCACTAAATAAATGGAAACTTCTGCAATAAGTCCAGTATGTAAAAATACCTTAAGTTATCTGTAAGGGTGTATAGGAGCAGAACCTGCCCATATTAAATTATATTTGATATGATAATGAATAATTTTATTGAAAATAAGTTAGCTGGTGTTCCAGCACTTTATAGTTATTCTGGAATATAGTGAGCCCTCCCAACACCTCCTACCCCCACCCCCCACCACCACCCCAGACACACATGAGCAAACAGAAAGAACAGTATTGGTTTCTGTACCATTTCTTCTTTAAGGACTTTACACCCAATTTTTAACTCTGTGGTCCCTGAAGTGGATATGGGAGGGAGCCTGGGCCAGTCATTTCTTGCAGTGAATTGGCAGAGGTCAGAACCCCCAGAGATGAAGGCATGGGAAAGATCACTGCTTCACTTTTTAGCACCAACTTATTAGCATTCAGGGAATGACTTCAGCTCAAATATTACAAATATGCTCTAATTATACTCAGTGAGCTATATATCATCACGAATTGCCGATAGCCCATTGTGGGACAAACTCTCTGGTTCAGATGAAATATTTTTAGCCATGGGGAGATTTAAAAGTAAAAATATAAGAGATATTGTATATGCCTTCAGGCATATTTTGTCTCAAATGTTATCCTTGGCCAAGCACACTATATAAATACAGTAAATATGAATAGCACTGGCCAAATGCCAATCTCCTAGGATGACTTTGAGTTGAGAGGTATTTATGGGATATAAATAATACTGTGTCAACATTTAAAGAAGGGGTCTGATTAGTTTTGAATTCATTCATATTGATCTTTTCACATACTGTTAGTTTAAGGCTCAAAGTGGAGTTTTGCTAAGGTTTACTGGTCTTTTACCCAGTGGGAATTAGCACACTTCTGTTCTGTGACAATCCATTTGAAGTTTAAGGGGCATCTATTCATTCAAACGACAGCACAAGCCTTTTTAAGAAACATTCTAGAGTGAGTCTAGGAAACAGGATGAAAATTCAAAAGATTTACAATTAAAATCAATAAAGGCTTGGACAATGAAGAAGAGAGAGAAACAAAGTTTTCATTTTATTTTTCTCCTCTCCTTTTATTTTCATGAAAACAAACCAGACTCCAGGCTTTGGTTCTAAGTGGAGGCGTTGGTGATGCTATCATTGAGTGGGTTTACTGACCTAAAATGCTGAGGTCAGGTCCCCCATCTGTCAGCACCTACACAAACCTCAAAGAATTACCCTACTTTAGCCCCAGGAATATAATATTGAGGTTAAGGCTCTTGCCTTGCATATGGCCAGCTCTGGGTTCAATCCCCAGCACTGTATATGGTTCTCTGGGATCACAACACCAGGAGTGGGTGGATGACAGCAACAGGAGTAAGCCATGAGTACCACTGGGTGCGGCCCCAATGCCCCTCCAAATTATCCCAGATTTAACATCCATAATACTCTCCTTGACAAGTTCTTGTAACCCTAATATTTGTCTTCAATTACTGAATTCTGCTGGTAGTACCAGTTAGTAAGTGATAAAATAGAGATAAAACCTTTTTTTCCTCAAAGAGGACATTAAATGAGGTTTGTTCTTAGTGAAGCAATATAGTTTTTATTGAAATTTAGAGAAATTGGGGAGAGGAGAGAAAGGAGAGAGGGTTAAGTGTTCAGGAAAGAACATGGGCTTTTTCAGAGGGGAAAACGAAAGGTGACAGTGGCTTTGTGAGAAGATTATATACAATTTCTCCAAATTGTCTTGGCCTGGAGTTCTAAAGTGAGAGCATTGAACAGAAAGATGATCACAGAATTACACCACATTAACAAAAGTTTGAGTGAGACTGTTTTGTGGGGTCTCTATTAGAGTGAACTTACTGTGCCTGAAGCAGAGCCCTCTACATGGCCCAGTCATTAGCCCTGGGGAATAGGGTAACTATCCTCTTTATGACTTCAATACCCATGGCCTTTAGGTGAGAAGAGAGTAAAAAGAAGCAAGAAATTATCTCAAATTTTCTTCCCCTCCAAAACAATCAGTTTGTATTCATGAACAACAGACTCCCCTAGCCAGGCAATTGAAGAAAGCAAATAATCATGTTGGTTTATTCTACCATTTAGAATGAGAGAAATTCAAATATATAGTCTCAAAACAACAACACAATGAGGGTTTATTTGTAATTATTCCACATGAATGTAAAACACTTCAGATGGAGTAATTGCCTTGTCTGTTTTCCTTGTAATGTCCCTGGTACATGGGGTGTAGGGTAGCTGTCTGTGCTTTTGTGTATAAGCCTATGCTTCTTGGGAATGGTGCTGTAAACTTCTCTTCATGGAGAGGTAGAGATCTTTCTCTAGGCATGTTGCTGGACTCTTCACCAATTGTCTACTGAAGGCAGACATTAGTAACTGCTGAAAAATAGTAGTTCAGCAGTTGCCTTATGGGTCTATGTTTGTATATGTGTGGGGAGAGAGGCACTGGGTGGGGGGGAGAGAGCAAGTGAGTGAGAGAAAGAGAAAGAGAGGGAGATCATCAGAGATAGACGTTGAAGACATTGAATCCTTGACCTCCACAGTGATTGAATTAATAATTCTCAACAGGCCTAACATAAATCCCCTTCCCTTTTTTTTGCATCATTTCTTGTACTAACTCTAGTGCCCAATTGCGGGTTGCCTTTAATTTGGGTCATAATTTGCCTTTAATTTCAGGATTTTCTCTTTCTTTTGCTTTTCAAAGACAAAGACAAATCCTCCAAGAAATGCACTGTTTATAGCTGAAGTTGTTGGACAGCCTTGGCTGCCAAGTAAGGCCAGCTTGCCCCAGGCCTCCGGAGGAGGAGTCCTTTGCAGGAAAGTGGAGGCCAGGATTGGGGAGGGGGCAGGGCAGGTGGTAGGACTTGATCTCCTCTGCCTCCTGGCATCTGAGCTTTCTGTGTCTCCGCAGC